CAGGACTTGTTTATTACTGTCTCAGAAGTCACTAACTCTTGCTATAAATATCCTATCCTGGACACAATTCTGCATTCTTTACTCATGTATCTGGGCTTTCTATATTTGTCTAAAAGACAACTATTTTTAGGCTTGGAGAGCCTGCATTTCAATGAGAAGAAACCTGGCACTACAGGACAATGCTACAGAATAGCATCAATCTTAGATTAATCAGACTTCACTAGTCTTACATTTTTCTATTTCAGTACTACAAATGCTTATAGCTAAACACTAGTGCTAGTACACAAAGGAAATAACGGAATTCTCTTTCAAGTCAAATACAAGAGAGAACCGAGTTGCCACAGTTTTTAAAATCATACCTATTTGTAACTTCCTAAAAAAAAGTAAAATAAATATTGATATGGGTATGATTCACTGTTGCATTACTTTAGCTTATCCTGCCAAAATTCAGTTTGAATTTAGTGTAGTTACGTAGATGCAAGTGAGGAGAAGCATCATGATAAATCAGGCTCAAGACTTCAAATAGACAGTGTCAGATATATGAGAAATGTTTGCACTCAAGGTGTGGATTTTTTTTGTCTTACTTGCAAATTCCCATGGAAAGTAATGTTTAACTTTTCTCCCTATACTTAGAGCAATGGTATCAGAAATCTACCTATCACAGTACAGCAGCACATATCAGAAAATATAAAAATATTATGCGGTTTATATAAATTTAGCAGTATATTTATTTTTTAATTTTTTTTGGAAGCCATCATAATCCAAGTCTAAAAAAAAAAATCAAAGTTGAAAAATATTTAGTAGCAAAAACATGTAAACTAATCTGGCAAAGGATAGTCTACGTACATTCCTATAAATTGTATGTTTTCATTGCTCTTGTTTTAATCCTATAAATCATTCACAAAACACACATCCTCTTTCTTAGAACCTGGAAGTACAGTGCATATCCCAAATACAGAAATAATGGTAGATATCCTATTATTAATTCTGATTAATAATTAATTCTGATTCGCTTGTCTGTTACTGAAACTCTATCAGTTAAGCTTCTGGAAGTTTTTCTCCATTTAAAAACCCAACCATTTTCAGGGAAAAAGGGCCCATTTTACACTACATGACAGCTGAAGTTTTCGCTTAAGGTTATGCCATTTTTAACTGGCATATAAACAGGACCGGATCTTAAATTTTAACTTTTTTCAGGCACCTTGTTCTGTGAGAAAAGGGAACGCAGAACACTGACTGCCATGAATAAATAGATGGAAGGTGGCAGGGGGAACATTACTGTGCAGTTTTGCAAATGACAAAGCCGAAGACAGCAACATCCTGCTGAAATCAATGGCAAACCGCCCATTACCTTCCCCGGGGCCAGATTATCACCTACAGACACTAAGGGATTTGCTCAGGCTCTGAATCCAGATCTCTGCAGTTCCACTTGTGTCTACCCGGAGGGCTAAGCCCCCTCTCTCAGGGTGAGAACAAGCTCGATGGGTGCAGGGCATGGGTCGCCCGTGCCCACCTCCCGGGGCGTCAGCCGGCTGCGGGGGCAGCTCCATCCCGCCGGCCCCCCCAGAAGTGTGTGCCTGCTAGCCTATGGGCTAATGAATCCCCAAAGCTTTAATGCAAATAATGAAAAAGACCGGTGACATAAATTCTTACAGTAATGAGTCACATAATTGGATTCGCTTCTGAGAGGAGAAACCCCATCCATTCATTAATAGAACAATTCCTAATCATATAAGTATTTTTAAACTTGGCTTTCAGATTTTTATCAGTGAAGCTATGATCTAGTAACACCAGAAGTGGAATCCCTTAGAAAATGTGCAAAAACCTCCACTCGATGTGAATCTATGTCACTGCTTTGTTGTTAGACAACTGTAGAAATCAGGTATGAAGTAGGCCAGCTGCATGACGTGATCCAGTATCATACACTTGTGTTTCATTGTTCCATACTGTGAACTTCCCTCCGTATTTTCTAGCTCCACAAGCAATGGTGCTCTGCACTTTTCCCATCCTAGCATCTAGAGAAAGGTACTTAATTCCTCAAGGGTTTCTTATTAAGGTGTGGTGTTTTTTTTTTTGGTTTTTTTTTTTTTGTTTTGTTTTTTATTTAATTCTTGGACAGGATTAGTAGCAACAGAAATAGAAGTTATTTATTTTACAGAACCTGCTCACAGTGATTATGTTTAATTCTTTAAAAAATACCAGGTATATATGTGAATTCATCCAATAACAGTAGGAAACTATTGACAAAATTTCAAGTAAAAAAGATCAACTTGAACTAGCCTTGCTAGGCTTTCCGTAATGCAATAAAATTAATTCACTGGTAAAAGCCAGAGGAAAAATAAACCTCAAGTACACTTGCAATTTTTCACTTTGTATCAGAATATTCTTGAGACCTTAGGCAAATAAAAATTAATGGAAAATCATTTTATTAAGACTATACAGGAATAATATGACAAAGGTAAAAATAAACAACTTGAACTAGGAGGAAGAATATGTAATTATTTCCAAGCTGCTGGCGTCCAGTTTACAGTATGTTTGGGGTAATATGTTGAAAAGTTTTCAACTCAAATGTATTGTCACTCCAAAGTCATTAATTACTGTTAGGTCCCATGTGAGTCAAGAGCCACTAGTGAACTACTGACATTACTCTCATTTAGATGTTTCTATCATGTCTGTTTGTTACTGTTCTGACTGAACTAGAACATCAGGTAAATCATAACAGGCATTTCCTCTGACATTTGCCAATAAATCACCAAAGGGAGAGGGGAAAGTTTTAGCCCTAAACACCCCCAGAGGGAGGAATTGTTTATTAGCCAGTCAAGTCTAGAAGATGACCCTAATATAACAAAGGGTTTATACAAAATATAACAATATAACGAACAGAGAAAAGAGCAGTGATTTCAGGGTAGGGTGCCCCACGAGACCTCAGCAGGGAGACTGGCTGCCAGAGCTCTGCAAGGGGAGGAAACGGGAGCAATTTCATCCCACAGATGGATGGCCCTCTCTGGGGATGAGCTCTCTGTCAAAGGCCCACACAACATGCTGGCCATCTTTGGGTTTTTGCTGTTTTTTTTTTTTCTTTACAACCAGTGGTGTAAAGCATTAACCAAGTCAACCTGGTACTCATTTTGTCAGGAACTGAAAATGAGACAACTGGAAAGGGAAAATTTTTCTGAAAAAATATCTCAGCTTAGTTTAAGCATAGCTTGGTTATATTTCTCATTTTCTCATCAACATTCTTTATAAGAATGTAACTATCAGGGTTATTAATGAATAAACGCTTTTCATGTCCCTTTACCTTATCATTAATCATTAAATGTATAGTTACATGCCTTCAAGGTAAACAGATAATGACAAGACATTCCTTACTTGGAGACTGGCAAATCTATTAATGAAGACACCTGGGAAAACAAGTAGAATAGCTCTTCATCACACTAGTATCTAAGTCCAAAGAGTAACATAGCAGGCTTTTATTTCAACGACACAGGCTGAGATGATGGAGAATGTCTTTCAGTGGCTGACCGCAACCATGAAGTATGGCCCTCTGGTATATAGAAAGATATTGCTTGCATCCTGACAGTCACAGAAACTATATTACAGGTGCTTATTATAAGGTAAACTAAAATACAAAAAAAACAAAACAAAACAAAACAAAACATCCAACATACATAGTCCTTTATCCCTTTCTTTCCCCTCTCACACAGTATTCAGTGTTCTTTTTTTCCAAATATAAGATACAACTTATTAAGCACATAAAAGTATTTTCTGCTGGCTGCAGTGTTGGAATGATCGTCAAGCATGTTTGATTCCAGAAATACTTCAGTAATCTAATCTTCAGTTTGCAAAAGGTTGGGTAATTTCACCAATAACTACAATGGAGGGAGGATATTACACCCTTATCAACAGGTATCAATACAGAGTTCCAAGGCACAGACACCGTTTGGGCAAAAATCTACCAACTAATTAACTAGCAATAGCTGCCCTTCCTCAGCCCAGGTAACTCATCAGTATCACTTCTGCTCAATGAGCCCCAGCTTCCCCCTTCCACCACAACCATCCCCATGATACAGAGTTCAGATTGCCGCCACCTAGCCAAGTGTCAAAATAACCATCACACAGCTGTTTTTCAGCCACACATGTGCCAGGAAGCCACAGGAGGGAATGGCCGTAGTACAAAACCACAACAGTCCAGATCTGCTTCCCAGACCTCGCCACAGCCACCGATGCACTTTGCCTACAGGAGACCAACGCTGATACCCACCACGAGAACCTCCCAAACAGCTCTGAGGAGCCCTCTACCATGCCGACTCCTCATAGCCAAGGAAAGTGCCACCATTGCCCTAGCGTTTCCTCGAGCAGAAAAGGACAGACAAAGCCTACCACAAAAGCATCTCTGGAGTGCTGGCAGAGATGAAAGAGCAAGGTCACTGCTCCCCCTACTCTCTACCCCTTGGCAAGGCAGGATTCAGTGACAGTACATAATTATCAGTCTCTAGCAATGCTGTGTCCAGCACACATTGCTTTACAGTTCTGCCCAGGGTGCTTACAGAGGATCTCTCACCTTCACATCCAGCCTTCTGTGCCTATGCACAATCTCAAGTGAATGCTCTGCTTTTTTAGTAAACACAGGACAGCTTCCACACTATAAGCATGTCAAGTCTCAAGTTCCTCTCATTTTCTCTAGTCCCTTGCTCAACTCCCAGCATGGCATGACTTCCCTATGTCGGTTCTTGCTGAGGTGGCCACCAAACCCATGCTGACGTGCAGTTCCAGCAGCTGGTGCTGAGACAATGGGATTTTGCTGCTGTGCATCCATCACTGCAGCTCTTTATCTTTTCAAAGATTTTTTCCACTTTCCCTGCCTAACATGTGATACATCCTTTGTAAGTCACTGTTAATTATGATTTTCTGCTTTTGATGTAAAACTTCTCTCAGATAATCCACGTCTATTTTAATTTACTGTTATATTTTCAGAAATAACTAAAACCTTAAATCCTTACCTTAAATTTATCAACTTCTGCCTTCGAACATGTTGCATGATAAGATAATACCTGCCCCAGAACAAAAGATAAAAAAACATTTTTGTAGACTTGACAAGTAGAAATAATAGGGTTCTCTACTGCAGCCTAATCAATGATGTTTAAAACAAATTTAATTAATATTTATGCATGGTAATTCAGTTCTGAATGTCAGCATATAATAACTAATTACAGGTTATCACGTATACATTTGGCATTTATGTTGGAGGGAATTTTATAGGACATGATGAACAGTAAGTAATTTAATATTATAAGCATTTCTACATTGTTCTCCTGGAGTTCTACAATTAAAAGAGAAAGAATTTAATGTAAAAATAACAGTAGATTTATAGACTTTAAATAATTCTTTTTGCTACACTGTAAAGCTTTAATGCTTTTGCTAGTGGCACATCACTGCATGCAAATTAGCACCTCTGCTATGCCTGACATTCTCTTCAATACCATTCTGGAGATGAAAGCACCACATCAAATGCACAAAGTATTGCACACCTCCTCTTATTACCTGTAAGCATGCATACATTTACATGGAATACTTTATTACCTGTAAGTGTGCATACACTTACATGGAATCCTTTATATCCTTATGTGACAATACTAACACTGAACAAACACTCCAGAAGGTGCAAGAGCCATCCTGTGTACTGGACTGACCAAGGTCTGACTGTGCGTGGGACGGGGTGCTGGTCCCCGTGGGAGCTCAGAGCCAGAGCACTCCCAGCAAGGACGGGTCCTCCTCACCACACAGCAGCACCCAAGCTGCTTACGTGCTAAAGCTTTGATATATATTTCTCATTTTGAAATTGATTTCATCTGTGAATGTCTCTGTTACTCATATAAATACCTAAACTCTATCTCAAATGCCCTTGGCTTACAATACCTCGTGGCAATAAGTACCAAGATGTATTTACTCATATCAATTTTATAGAGGCGTCATCTTTTACAGTAACAGGAAATCATTCCTGCACTATAAAAGAACAAATAACAAACACCAATTCACTTGTTCTGTCCCATGTATTACTTCCTATAAATATACATCATGTGCTTCCTCAAATAGTATCTATTTTTCTGTCCAGCCATATTGTAGCTTCTCTCAGAAATCTATAAAATTAGTAAAATTATGCTATGACATATTATACAATATGAAAATCTTCATCAAGCCTCTCCTTTATCTGCATTCATTATATCCCACTAATTTTTTACAGTCTTCCTTTAATAATTTGCAAATTTTGCGTCCTTAATATATGAAGTAGTATTTAGTCTGGTTTTGAACCACACGGCATCCTACTGTCAACCCTTCCCCATCATTTATTTACATTTTGGTCCTCTATTTATTAGTTAATCTTACGAGAATTCTATATGAAAACCAGTATCTGTATATCTGGATGAGAATCTTATTATGGTATATATCAAATTGATTTATTTTATATGTGATATCAAGTCATTTTCAAATGCCACTCATTGCCATCCTAGCTAAATACATAAATACTAATATTCTATTACTGAAAATTGGATTCACAGTCCTTCAGCATATACCATTCTTTTGTTCAGTATTTTTCTGCTGTACCTTCAATCACTTCACACAAATATTATCATGAGTTGTTGCTTATTTATAGAAAGAATTACTCTTCACTGAAGCATAGTGACCATTTATCAAAGTTATAATCTACATTCAAGTTATACAGCTATTAGTCTTTTTTAGATCAAAGAAAGAAGCTTTATTTTAAACCAAGAAATCTAAATTTTCTTGATTTCAGTAGTAAATATCAAACTTCTATGTTAACTTTCAACCCTCTGTATCTGAGTGTGATATGTGACACTGCTTGTTTTTCTTGCCAGAAGTATTCATTCTAAGTTGTCATACTGCATAAATACCTGGGACATATGAGGGCTTATAGTAATTCATGACTATGATATGTAAAGAATAGGGAATCTTTCAGGAGGCCTGAAAAGGAAAGTTTTTAAACTTTTCCTCCTAAGTAAATACATATACAAGAATAACAAAAAAAGCCACTTATGCTTAAAATGTTTTCCAACACAAACATTCTTGACTTCCAAAAGCCTTAACACACTTGTGTGCTTTACAGGATAGATCCCCAATACATAGATAAATATCTCCAACCCTAAAGCAAAGAAAAAAATAATGCTGTCTTCATAGCAATCCAGTTTGGTTTAATTTGCGTTTTAATAGAGAAAAATTCACATCTCAATCAGGCTAAAGCTATTTTTGTGGTTCTTATTGTAATGGTGGGTATTGTATGACATCAAAGGAGCTACACAGTTAAAGAGTGCACACATCAGGGATAGCTAGATCATTTTCTTCTCTTATCACATGCGAAATTTAAAACAATACTGAAATCTTAGTGACATTACCCTTTCATTCAATCCTGCATAATGCTTTTTAAAAGATCTTAAACTTAATTCAAACTATTCTTATTTATTTTATTACAAATAATGTAAATTTGTAAAGCTATCCTGAAAACTCCAAGCTTTGTTATCACCAAGATTATTTTTAATATGATTACATTTAAAATCTGCAGAATATAATAGAGAATAGCGCTTTATTGTTGAATCAACTTATAGGAGTTTAAATAATTGTAATTTTTGGAAATACTCTATATTTTAGAGGTTTTTTTTTTGCAGGAGCTAGTAGATTTAATTCTTCATGAATGGGGGAGGCGGGGAGCAGAAATAGGGAAAGAAATTCCTACAAAGGCAACGGGCAAAAAAAGAGAAAGCTTTCCATCCATTTAACTACTCTATGGAAAGACATGATGTGTTGAAATGCCAGGACCTTGCATTATGTATTCACCTTGAATTACAGCAGAGCTCTTACTGAGCTGCCAACCATCCTGCTTTGACTTTATTCTTGCAGGACTTATATCTGATATATCAGATAGTTCAGCGGATGTTGCTTTTGATACTAAAAAAACCTATGATGATGATGATCAGATTTTTAAAATTTTGTCCTGGATACAATATGTTTTACTTACACTTTATGACACTAGGAAAACAACAAGCAGCTATACAATATACCAAGTCTTAAAGAATTTTCAGTTTCTGATGGACAAGAAAATACATGTAACACCTAGATTAAGTCTTACAGTTAAACCTGTAAGAAACTAGATTCTCAATCATCACCGTCCCCCCTTCAAATGTAAAAAGCATAGGCATCAAATGAGATATCCAGGTTCAAAATTACTTGAGCTGTGTATGAGCTCCACACTAAGCATACCCTGAGAAATATTCCCTTTCAGCGTTACCTTAATAAGACAACACTCCAAGGTGCAGAGAAGTATATATAGAAAATGATTCTGACTACAATTCAGAAGCAGTAGGTTCCTATACATGTGACACTTATGAGCAAGAAAAGGTTCCATTAAGTTGTACACATACATCAAGAGCCACAGACTGTTTTGCCCATGATTTCTTCACTTGATCATACATAATTGTGTTGTTGATACCCAGGCCACAAAAAATAACAAAAGCCTAAAATAAAGAAGAGAAAAAAAGGAAAGAAAGTCAATTATAATTTGATTATAATACAAACACAAGGATGAATGCTGGCTTAATCATGAAAATGAATTGTATGGAAATATTAGGAATAATCACACTTAGTTTATCTTGAGAATGCAAGTGAGTCACTGGCCTCAAGATGAGAAAGATCAGATGCAAGAAACTTGTTTTAATTAGGATGTAACCTTGTTAAATGAGGAGTTCTGAGAATTAATGTAAAACCACAAATACAGACAACATATTCTACCCTCCTCCCTAAGGTAGCCTCAAGCAGCACTACCCAGAAATACCAAATCCCGATGAAAAAGTATGTTATTGCTACAAAATTGAATGCCTCTTACTTCAAACAGTCGCTGGTCGGCATCGTCAAAGGGTTTCCCATCAAGTCTGTTCAACACTTGAGCTACCCCTTTAGAAAAAGTTATTATGAGTTATAATCTTCATTCATTAATTCACAATGCAGAATATTTTATTCATTGGTAACATTTAAAATACATCTTTCAAACTGAAAAGCAAAGCTGCAAGTATTTATTCTGAAAATCATTAGACAGATGTAAACATGTGAAATTCTGACTGTTTTGATACCAGGACTCAGTTTATTACTTTCAACTGTTATTCTTTACTCTTCAAGTATAATGTTGCAAATCTAAAAGTTACTCATAATGCTTTTCCCAAAAGGTTAAAGATCTCTTTGGGAAAGAAACCGAGCACACTTTGCTATCAGCAACAATGTAATTTGTCCTAGGAATTTGAATTTACTGACATAATTTGCTGAATCAGTCCCTTCATTCCTAAAATCTTAGTTCGTTTAGCATCATCTGGGTATGTAAGTCCTTTTTTTCCCCTCATGATTGGTCCATAAATTTATTGAACCAATTAAAAAAAAAAAAAGTAATTTCCTTAAACCATTTGAAAGTGTTCAAAGCTTTTGGCTCTAGCTGAACTAATACTGAGTTCTACTGCAATAGACCATTTCTATTTCATCTAGCTACAGTATGCCCTTATTAAAATACTGCAAGAGCTATCAGCAGTCAAAGGTTCAGTTTCTTTCTACTTTAAGGTAATACGCATTTCACAGCACAGTGAGCCATATTTTTAAAAGACTCAATTCCCACATCATCTCTGCTGAATAAGCTGAGAGATCCTGATCCTGCATGGCACCGAATGCCTTCAGCAATGTACTACTGATCTCAGCTCTCACTGACAGCCACAACACCCAGGGATGCAACTCTTGCCCTGCCAGTTTAAATTGCTATCACTTTGACTTTAATTCTTCTGTGGAAAGTTAACACAGGAATCTGGCACTGTTATTTACAAATGGTGCTCCTTTTTGTGCCAAAAGCAGGTAATAACGCAGGGCCAATTGCAGGTGTATCCTAGCTGGGAAGCATCCTATCCAACAAGCAATAAAACCCTGTCACGTCCTGATCCAACACACACCACTGCCCTGGGAAACCCTGACAGCTGCCACTGCCGCCCCGGCAAGTCTGCCCCGACTGTGTGGTTCATCGATAAAGAGGGAAATGACCACTTTGCCTGGCTGCAAAAACAGTCGCCCAAGTTGTGTACAAAAAAGGGAGACCCAAGAAGAGTATCAAAGCGTATCAAACGTTTTTCACTGATATTGTTAGAATTTCTGTTTTCGTCTCTTTAGTCTTCAAGTTTCAATACAATACATAACTTAACAATGACACAGTGGGAAAGATGAAGAAGTCCATACACAGTATCCAAGCCAAAACATCTCTTCTTGGATACACAGCATGCATCCTAGGTACTGTAACTACTTAAAAATATGCAGCTGAGAAAAAGAAGAAAAAGGAACTAAGAATTAAACAGACAATTAAATTTATATTAGCACAACAATGATGCAGCTATGAGGAAGGTCTTACCAATTATTTGGTGGTTGCTATTCCATATAGGAACACACAGAACAGACCTTATGTGAAAGCCAGAAATCTGGTCAGCCTATAATGTAGAAATGAGAGCTTCCATTATCAGTAGGTACCATTTTCAGCCTTTTAAATTCTAGTAATAGAAATATCAAGCAGTAAGTTCACATTCACAAATGTCATTCCCACATGTACTGGCTCTCACTCAGAAAAAATTTCTGCTGAAACCTCATTCAAAATAAGATTATCCAAAAGTCATAAGAATTATTTTTAAAATTGCCAAAGAAAATACAAATGTCACCATTTTTGCCACAGAAAGCTTACACTATTTGACATTAAAGACAAACTTCAATGGAGGACATGTCCAGACAATTCCTGGATTATTTACACTGGTGGATTACTAGAGACAACCTCCACTTAGTAAGTGTACCTTAGAAATTCTCTTCCTAGTTGTCAAACTGAAATTGAATTTAGCAAAGCAGCTATAAAAGGAGGCTTGCAGGAAATACGCATTTTCAGAAGACAGACAAGAGTAAGTAGGGAATTGTGCAGAAATGTAAGCTAGGAAGAAATGGAAGTATGGGGTCAAAACCAAGATTTGAGATTTTCTATATAGGCTTAATTAGTCCTATAATTTTGAAGATAATTTTCTGCTTCATTTATTTTTTTCTATCTAATATAGTATACAACTATGAAATTTATTATAAGTGTCACCAATTCTCTCATTTCTATGGTTAATAAGCTTTATTCTTTAGGGTCATTGCTACAAGATCTGAAGAAAACAAAATAGTTTTTCAAAAGAGGTTAGAGTAAGAGTGTAAAGGAAAGTAAAAGACCAGCAATAATTAATATACTGGAGGCAGGATGGGATCATGGTGATTCTCCTAGCTAGCAAAAGATATAACTTAGTTTTTACCAGAGTACTGCTTATTTGTACATCCTCAGAACTCATCACTGAAATCAGCATGGAGTGCCACCTAAAATCCATAGGACTGGTGGAACAATTGCCTCAGGTGTGTATTTTAAAATTAACTCAATGAAAATAACTTTGGCTTTAAGTTCTTGGTGAATGAGTTGAAAATTGAGCATTCAACATTTGAAAATGACAGTTAGTGCTCTTGGAGAAAAAAAAAGAGTGTTTTTAATAGAAGCAGAGAACAGAATATCTGTTCATAACTACACCTGTATGTTTGATTCTAAGTCATAAGGGATAATATGTTCCTCTTACTACACTTGACTGTAGAAATAATTGATTGTAACAACTGAATTTAAGAATTGTATTTTCATAGGAATCCACCAACAGAAAATAATTACTGCCTTTTGTATTAAGTGTTTTCTTTTTCTCCATATAAAATTGGGCAGTGCCCCTCACTTGGAAAGGACTGTGAAACAAGTAAGAGCTGAATTATTCAGGCCATGATATATTAAAAGTACAACTGCAAACATAACAAGGATTGGCATGCTTTATTTTGGCAAGAAATAGACCCCAGGCATTAATTATACTTTTGAAATTCTGAACAAATTAGCATCAAGACAGATTCCTTGAACACTTTTACAGCAGGCCCCCCTTTTTTTTTTTTTTGTTTTGTTTTGACAAAATGTGCTGGTTTGAGAGATACATGGAATAAAACTGGAACCAAGCAAACTCTCAACATGAAACACTTCCAAGCACACCTTGTAGTAATATAGCTTAGCAAGCTTGCTGATGAAGGCTGTCCACTGATTGATGTGCTGCCCAACTGCTGGCCAAGTCCCCCATAGTAATGTTGTTTCACTGTATAGAATTGAGTGAAGGTTTTGTCCTTCCATATGCATCTGACATTTATCAGGTGTTAAGTATATGTATACATTTTTATCTGTATCTACACCTTCCTAACTGAGGCTGGAATTAATAACCTTAGGATACACAAACAACTTTTATTAGGAATGATATATATCTTAGAGAAATACACACACAGGATTAGTTATTTTATTTGCACAAATTAAAAGGTTAGTTGGCTAAGTTAGATTACAAACAACATTTGTCTCTCTATATACTGGTTCTGTTTACACTTTGTGTGTGTACATTTCCAGTCACCTCAACAGCTAGGAATGATGGTGCTGATTACACTGAACACCAACAGCAGACTTTTCAGCAATAAAAATCAGTTCGCATAAATATCAAAGCACTTGATAGATATCACTTATAAATAGGAAAAAAAATGATTCGTGCACAGACTAAGTAACTGCCTAGAGTCATACACTAGTTCAGTGACCTGTGTTTACTGTATAAAGCCATGTCAACACCAGGAGACCAGAAGGAGAATATACCGGATAAAAACAAAATAATTAAAAATAAACATTCACATGTTTTACAGCCACTTTGATACAATGATAAAATTGTGTTATATTAGTTACAATGCCAAAAATATGATGTAGATTTACATTTCTAAAAATCTCTTACTTCAGCATCAAAGCGAGGATCCTGATAGGCATCACTAATGTTCACTGGGAGACCTGTGGAAGCTACGAGTTCAGCAATGCTGTTATTTATTAACCAGTCAGAGTAAGATGATGATTTCTCCATGCTGTCTTTGAAACTATAAAAAGGTATAGCACAGGAAGAAAAGAATACAGCCAACGTCACTTAGAAGTCCAGCATGTCTTACAGGCATATTCAGAAGAACAACAGAACCATCCACAGCATTATCTATGGAACAATAATTTGGTATTTATTGAAATGGTACATCAAAAATTTTCTCCTTTACACAACTCTACTGAAAAGCAGATTGGTCTCCCAAGTAATGTAAATGCAGCATTTAATAATGAAATGCATTTATATATGAATCAAGAGCAGGATTACATTCCAAGTTTCTGTGGGATACAGGCCTACTCATCAAAAGCAACTAGATCTAAATAATATTTTCTGTAGAGCTACCTGAAAGTACATAATTTTAAGATTTTAATTTTTCAGATCAGTCTAATAATTTGCATATTTTTAATTCATATTTCCAGTAATTTTACTGTCAAGGGAAACGCCATTTTTTAAATTTTGTTTTGAAATGCCAGATCTGAATGGCGGACAAAAGGATCGTGAAATAAATCACAGTGTGTTGCAGCAGGTGGATCCAAGTAGACATGCAATACATGAAGGTTTCCCTCTTCCCCCCCCACCCCGTTTGAGCTTCTGCCACAACTACCAAGGAGCTAGAGAGCTGTCAGTAAATGAGCATAAGACACTAGATTTATGGGCTCAACTCACCATCACAGCTTCTCCAGAAAACTCTGTATCTACACAGACCTTAGAGACCTCACCTAATCATCAGGAAAGTTCTCACTGACTTATTGCAGACAGGTTTTTGACACTGGCAAGGTGTGTCTATTCACATGTGAATAAACAAATGCATGTTCTCTTAGTTTTAAGAAGAAAACTGATAAATTTTCAACACTTGAGATACATTACTTCAAAAAAAAAGTGACTCTGAGCAGCCATGGAGTAGTATACAGTAGCTTGAAGCTTCAAAGTAATGCACATGAATGAAAGAAGGATGCACAGTAAAAATGCTTGAAAGTCACAATCAAAGTGAAAGGATTGATTTTTGTTGTCTGCATTGATTTTCTGGAGACTAATTCAACTAAGTCACCCATTTGAAAGAAAACTCAATATTCTTAAAAGACTATAAATAAAGATAATAATAATGATTTACTAAAATAAATCTGGGATAAGAATTTTGAGTGACTGTAATAAATGTTATGTGTATACTTTGACAGGAACCTTTACAGAAATATACAGTTTTTTGAGCTATGTAAAAAATTCACATTTATAATTTAAAATTTTTTTCAGGACATCAATACTCGAGAAGCAAAAAAAACCCCTTAAGGATAAGAATCTAATTTCAAATGCATAGCTCCCAGCTCATACCTTAAAAATCTGGATGATATTATCATTATAATATAGGACACTTTAAATTGGGACCTCATTAGGGGTGTCAAGCGTTTTAAGCAGCAAAGCAAAAGAAACAAGATATAATTCAGGAAGAACTTTTTAAAATATGTTCTACTATGTTGTCTCCATTCCTAGCAAGTACTTTACGGCTACACTCTGGAAGAGAGGCACTCAACTTTCACTAGGAAGAAACATCAATGATTAATTCTGATGCAAATCACAGCCAGCTGGCTCGCTCTGCATCCTCAGAAGCTCAGAACACTCAAAAGCTACTCTCAAAACCACAAGCAACAATTTTCTCCAAACTGTGGAAAGCCGTGAGTGAGTCCTGCTGGACTGATGCAGGCAGCGTCATGCCACCACCTCCCTGCCTTGCCCACGCACGAGTAGGAGCACCATGTGCCAGACAGGAGAGTGAACCCAGCTTGAGAGCACCAAGCAGTGCTGCAGGCTCCCCTCACACAGCTGCTTCCTTGCTATCTTCCCCAAAGCATATCTGACAGGGCAGGCAGAAAGTACAGTAGGGAAGTGGTACAGCCGAAATCACGGGCACCTTCAATGCTCTCTAAACAGTAACACGGACCCTTCCAGCTTCTAGGACTGGAAGAGCAGAAAAATGCCTTAAGCAGCATAAAAATTCTTCTGGGTATAAGGTGATAACCGAGTGCACATCACTCCGGGTGCAATGATGGGGAACAGAGGTAGCAGGGATTTCATCACTTTCTGTGTACCAGACCAACTGGGAGGGAGCACGGATATTTTCTCCTACACAACCCACGCTCTGGCAGCTGACCTTTCCACTACCACCGGTGCTCAGGTTAGAGAACTCGGTAATCTCAGGTACATCCTCTGCCAAGATGACAACCTCTGTGCAGGAAAGACATAGCCCACAGCACCTTCCCTCAGGCTCACTTTCATCTAGAATTCATCAGAACTGAACTCTCAAGGCTTCTAAGGTTTATGCAATCTTTTTCAAAGGGAGAGAAAATTTATGTCACCTAGCAAACATGAAGTTCAAGAACAAAATGACTGGCAACAATAAGAGCATCAGTGTGCCGTTATGGATAAACAAAAAACTTGATCATGTTGTGTGCTGGAAAACTGCAAACTGAACAGATCAATGCAAGCATGGTCTTGCAAGGTGTTTCTTTGCAACCAACAGCAGAGAAAAGAGATATAAGTACTCACAATAATACTTGGGGACTGAACAGGTGAAGTGCTATTAGCCAGATGTACAAAGAGCAAAAGAAAAGCCACGCCACTTTCTTCTAAAACTGTGTGAGAAAGCATGTTGTGACATGAAAAGTTATATTGTCCTTGAAGCTTCTCACTCTTTCAGATAAAACTTATAACTAGAACTGTTCTCAGCCTATAATCTCTTTGGACTTCCACTAAAATTTCAAAGAAATATTTATCTTCACTGGTGTAATGATGAAGAAACTCATCTTGCCACTTCTTTCCACATGAGAGGTCTCATGACTTTACATCAGTTATGGCTGCAGAATGTAGAATGAAAAGGGCAAAACTCACTAGAAAAATGCTCAAATGTCAAGGGCTCAAGGCATTGTTCTGTATCCTAAACAACCTTTATTTTCCCACTATAGTGCCAATAACTCAAGCTGTGCCTGTGCTAGATCCAAATGTGACATCATATCTGCCAGTCTAACCTTGGTCTTTGTAAAACCAACTTCACTCTCCACTGGATGAAAAATTAAAGAAAAAGCAATAAACTTTATATATATTAAAGATGCACAGAAATATATCTTTATAAATCTTATAAAGACTAGCTACCAGGCTGCATGTATTTATTCATGTTTCAGACTAAAGTTAAAATAATCTTGACTATGTGCAGAGCAGGCTACCACAAATTGCTTTTTGGTAATGTGCTAATATAACTATGGTAACAAGAAATGAGCCAGCTTGGTTATCTTGACACCACTCTACATTGTTTTGACTAATCTGGCTATGGACCAAGTTTGAGAAAAACAGGAATAACAACCACATCCCTTGATTCATACTCCTGTCCCTGAACAAAAGGAATGTACTTGCACCCATTTAATTGACCTAGGAAAGATTAACTGCTGCTCTGAAGCTCTGTCAATAGCAGTAACTTGTGATTCCCAGATGAATCAAAAAAATACATATTCATATTTAAACATTCTTACTTTTTATCACTTGCTTTTCTCTTCCATTTGTTTCACCATGCCTATCTCTCAACTAGTGAATAGGGCATGGAAGACATCTAACCTCTACCCATCTTTGTGTGGCTCTGGACTCTGATGTCAGCTTGCACATCTTAAAAATAAAATTATCCATTTCTGTAATGCTGTGTGATTGATCCATGAAAAGCATTAATAATTACAACCTTTTGTAATCTGGAATACAATGTACACATTCACCTTAATGAAGCAGTAGCCTTTTACCACACTGGAGGTGAAGAAATGAAGCACAAAAGAAGGCAAGCTACCCAAAAATATTTTTAAAAGCTGCTGAAAGGATTTAAATATGGCAAAGCACAAAGTAATCTTCAAGTCTGCTAAGCTATGGATAACAAGTTGGACAGAAGGCTAGGTTTATCATTATGGCAGCCATTCGATATGGAAAATTCTAATTCAGAATCAGTATGAGTTGATTTGCATAAAATGTGTATGATAATCACTGAGTTTGGGTGCTGAAAGATGGGAGAAACCTTCTCACAATAGCCCTGAATTTTCATCCACTTGTTTGGTATGTAGGATGTTTTATATGAACTGTTACCCGCTGTATTATCTTGTAGGAATTAATACAGTAACTCCACATGGACAAAAAGCTCTTTCTATTACTACTTGCAATTAAGCCCTTTATCAATATTTAAACACAGATCCTACTAAGCAAAACATATATTTCTGTTTTGACTGGGCTTCCAAACAAATTTTATTCACAGGAACAGAATTTCTAGGAAATACATGTTCTCTGAGGTTTTTAGGCTTTCTAACTTGATAAGAGCAGAAATAAAATTTTACTGGAAGCTGTTTAACACAACTGTAAGGAGGCATTTTGTAAGAGACCAACAATCTAACATAATTTTGTAATTTTTACTTCAGTATTAACTATGCAAAGCAACATTTGTGTTCTCCATGAGTTCAACAATAAAAAGTCATCAGTTATTTTCTTCTTTCTTCTCTGAGTCTCTGACACAGCGCATAGATATACACACACACACATATATATAGAAATACAGTCACATATATTTACTCAAACAAGTCTCCATTTGAAGCAAGCAGGAATCTTGACCGAGTAAAAATTGTAGACTCACATTTCTTAATGAAATCTACCTGAAGTTCCATAAGAAAATAAAACAATGATCAAGCAAATTTTAAACTACATGAAAAATAAAGTAATCCATTACAATAGCAGACATGAGCACTAACCTGTTGTCAGTATCAGCACTGCATTTCGGAGATAACAGCTCAAAGGATTTTGTAAATTTCACCACCTGTCACAAAAAAAGTAACTTAAAATTGTTATTAAGATCCATAAATATGTAAGAAAACAGTAATGTAAGGTTCCTATATTTAAACTATTTTTATACAATGGCCTTAGAATAAAAATGCAATCTGTAGTCTTCCAGTGGAGAACATGTTAAAAACACACACTGTGCACAGTTCACTAACAAACAATAGCAAATCAAATGATACCTTTAGATTCCTTCATGAAAGTATTTTCTGCAACAATATATGCTTCCCTTCAGAGGGCTTTGTGACATGAATTATGGACCTTTACCCAAACTTCATTTTTTTTTAACATAGAAAAAAAGACCCATTTGCACTACTAATTGCAACAAATTTTTCTTGAACATATGGGCCAACAGCACAAGGGAAACATTTTAAGAGTGGCTAATGTGACACAGAACACACATAATGTTTTTGGATGCTAGTGTCGGTCCCCATCTCCTACATCAGCTCTGTATTGTAAAAGCTTTTTCACAAAATGTACAAATGACTATTTTAGACATGGCTTAACATTGAGTTACTTTGTGGAGATCTATTTTGATATACAGGTTAATCCTCCAAAATAGGGTGAAATCAGAAAAATAACTGTTTTGCCACTCATAAAAATGACCAAATGGGTGGCAAGATGATATTCTCCTACTCTGACCTAAGATCTATGACTATTTAGAAAAAGTTTAGGCTTCACTGAATACCTTGGCTGTCCACATTTCAGAATTTGGTCTAGAGGAACGAGAACTCATTGCCTGTGGTTTGGGAAAAAAACCCTCCGTGCTCAAAGGTAGAAATAGTATCAAGAGCAGAAAAATGAAGTGAACAATGCCACCCACAGCCTGCTACTAACATAATGTACTGTTCTGTGAAAAATAAAATTCATATTATACTTGCAAACATAGTGGCATTTCATAAGAATGTAGTAGAATTGTATCTTGTAATTATAAAATCAGTGTGGGAGGTCTAGAAAGAGAAAATAAACTAGAAACATTAAAATTCTATAACAATATAATAAACGAAATACCTCGATCTTGCTTTTATGAAAGCTAGTGTAATTTGGGGCATACTCCACCGAAGGTAATTAATTTCTATTAGTTTAAATGAAATTAGAATCATACCTTTCCTCTAGGAAAGAAAACAATGTTTTTTTTTTCTGCTATACACACAGACTTGTGATTCTGTCTCTGATAATAATTTAGATTTGTCACAGCCCAGCAACAAATAATCAATTACAGAGTCAGTGAATCCAAAGATACTTAGATAGAAAAAAGAATGGTATTGCAAGCAACACTTTTATCCTTCAACTACTTCTCAAATCAGTAGAAAACAGTTTGTGTTGAATAACCTGAAAACACTGAAGGGACCTACCAGTACAAAGTCAGTCACTTATTGTACTACTAATAACAGTAGTTATAAAAATGCTAAACATTTTTAAAAAGGCTCTCATACCCTATGAATAGCAGTACAACAAAGTCCCAGTGAAAGCCCCTGTCAAAACTATGCATGAAATCCAACTCCTGACAAATACTTCCATACAGCTTACGTCCGTCTGTTCAATTTAAGAGAGCTTTGCAATGAAATAATTATTCTTCGGTCAAGTGGACAGAGCAATTGCAAAAACCAAACATGCTTCAATAATGCTGAAAGTTGTATTTTCACTTCACATGCTCAATACAAAACTTCTTCCTATCACAATTACGTGGCTATATCAATGCTGTTTCCATCACAAATCTAAAACATGCCACTGTACAAGCTACTATTGTATGCAAATGTGTCTTTTACAATGGATTTTCTGTTACCTCAGAGAACAAGTACTAGGTCAAAATAACAAGAGGACTTATCTTTTCACAGCATTTTCATCATTTAGGAACTGAGACCAGTTTCATTATTTATTTTTCAAAGTATTAAAGAAACTTGTTAAAATGTGCAAACATAGCTATTCCCAAACATACCCCGCCAACAGCTAGATTGAGTGGAAAACTTTAAGGAATAAATCCCATGGAGGAGTGGCCACCAAAAGTAGCTCAGAAAACTCCCTGTGTTGCAGGTTCAGTTCTTACTGTTTTGCTGTTCTTCCACATTAAAATACTGGATTTGACAAAAAAAAAACATTCATGAGAATTTCAGAAGCTGACTGCTATGAAGACACTGATCAGATTGCTGTAAAGCCCATTGAGTTGCTGAATACACAGCGTGGTCAGGTAAGAAAGTCTTGATGAGTTTATTTCACCTGTTATTTCTGAGGAATCAGTAGTCTAACTAAAGATGTAACAATGTAACATACTAGAATAGAAACTACATAAGTCTTTCAGTTTGCTACAGTTAAACAACAATAACAGATATAAAAGTATGAACACTGTAGAAATATCAACAAAGATGTCTGATAATTATTTATTGGAATGTATGCATAAAAGATTAGTTCTAAAAATGAGCATTAAAGATTTGGTTGATGATGCAACGGTTTCTGGTTCTGAAACTGTTTGCAAGCACCACCCATTTGACAAGTCATCAGCCTGAAAATGTTAACAAGGTTTTAAATTGGTAAATGTAAATGAATCTACAGGCAGTACTTTTCTTTCCTTTTAGTGGCTATACCATGAAAGAAAGGAACTGAGCAAATAAATATTTGATAAAAAATCAAGTCAATTTTCTTTTTTAAGTAGACCACAGGAGCACCTTGCTTCTTGGTTAAGCCATCCTAGCTGCTCTAGAGCTAGTTCTAGCACACAATCAAAGCATATCAGCTGGATCACACCACAGATCCATCAGCAACTTACAGACTTCCCATTAAATGCCTTGAAATAACCAGAAGGAATCATAAATGTACCTTTCAGCTTCCATTTGAAAAAGCAGCTATACTGGTTTTGGCTGGGGTGGACTTAATTTTCTTCATAGTAGCTTGTACGGTGACATGTTTTAGATTTGTGATGAAAACAGCATTGATAACACAGGGATGCTTTAATTATTGCTGAACGGTCCACAGTGTCAAGGCCTTCTCTGTTTCTCACTCTGCCACCCTGCTGAATAGATTGGGGGGTGATACAGCCAGGACAGCTGACCCCAACTGGCCAAAGGGCTATCCCATGCCATATGACATTGTGCTCAGCAATAAAAGCTTGGAGGAGGAGGAGGAAGGGGAGCTCTTTCAGAGTTATGGCATTTGTTTTCCTAAGTAACTGTTACATGTAATGAAGCTCTCCTTTCCTGGAAATGACAGAACACCTGCCTGCTGATTTGAAGTAGTATATGAATTCTTTACTTTACTTTGCTTGTGCACACAGCTTTTGCGTTACCTACTGAACTGTCTTTATCTCATCCTACGAGTTTTCACACTTTTACCCTTTAAGCTCCCTTTCCCATCCCACTGGGGTGGAGAAACGAGTGATCAGCTGAGTAGGGCTTCTGCCTACTGGGGTTATCAACATCACTGTTGTGGTTTAAAGACTCAACCTGTACCTAGCTTACATTTAAGAATAACGTGCTGGAAGAATGCTTGCTGTCCAGTAGTTACATATGGTATGAAACAGCTTCACCACAATAAAAGCAGCTGCTCCACCACTCAAATATTAGCTTTTCTACAGAATGTGCAGCCACACTTACCGGTGATTCGATATCTTCCAGAAGTAATACTGAGCACCGTTCACACTTCAGCAGAGTCTGGGCCCGATGCATAATTTTCTTGACAATTTTCTCTAAGTCAGTCTGTTCTTCAAAAAGGTCATTCACTACTTCCAGTAAAGCCTGCATACAAGGACAGAAAACTCTTGTATTGGTTGTAGAATTAATAAATACATGGAGCATTGCAAAGCAGGCATAATCTCTGGGATTGATTTTAATATGAGTGATCCATTGAAATCTTAATTCAAATAAAGTTCTTAATGATTATGGCAACAGAATTGGTGTGGGGGTATCTGAAGAAAGAAAGAAGTATTTCTTAGCTCATAACTGGGCATAATCCAACTCCTAGCAAACAATGGGAATCTTTCAAATTACTTCACTGTGGTCCAAAAATGAAACAATGGCTGTAATGTAACTCTTCAAGTACACAGTATGGATTGAGTTACTTGATTTTCTATATTGAATTTGCTGGTGCATTTAAACTCCATTTTATTAATTTATTACCCATTTTGCATGTTCAAAGCTGGGAAGAAAAAACAACATCCATACTTTCATATTCCAATAGCACTCTGACCCATTCTTTATACCACGTCAGTAAAATACAATGTTTTAAAATGAAGGTCTTCCCCTCTCATTTCATCAACTTTAAAAATAATAGACTACGTCCTTTCTTATCATGTGTCCAAAGAAGTGTGATTTTTCCTTTATTCAGGTTTAGGGCATTGACACTAAAGAACATCCATATAGGTAAGCATTTAAATGCTAGTGGTCTTAGCTCTCCTAATACAGTGGTCATCAGCAAAGTGTTAATCACAGTCACTGGAAGTTGCCACCATTGGTGTCCAGTTTGATAAGGAAAGCTTGCCCACCATGTGTTACTTGTCAACTAATTCCAACCATGGACTAAACAAAGTTAAAGACCACCAACAGGTCAGAAATTAGATTAAGTACAGGCCACCATGTAGCTGTCAAAAGGCAATGATGTTTGTTATGCCTCATGTGGCTGAAGCAGCAACAAGAAACAAAGAATCTGTATCTCTAATTCAATTTATTGATGTGCCCAGCCACCAGAATTTACCGTTTTCTAATGAAGAATAAGAATGTCCCTAATACTTTTCTGCTGAATGTCTTCCTCAGAAGATTAAACAACTCCTCAAAAGTCTGTCATTGCTCCCTGCAGGCTGGGAATCTGAAGCAAATTTTAAGTCTCTATGTAGTCAAACAATTATTTTGTTTGAATATCAAACAAAGAAAAAAAAAAATCTTTGGCAGAAAATATTTTTTTCCCCCAAGTCTCCTCCACATCTCCACCCCAAAATACAGTGGTCTGAAGTCAGACCTGGACTGAAGACAAGCTCAGATGCTTCATGACCCTTAAATATATGCACCATTAGAAAGGGCTATTGTTAGTTTTCAAAGTAGTGGAAAGCATTAGTTTCCATACATGGAAAGCACCAAAATCCTGAATATACATATGCCAGTGCTTAATACACAGACCCACCCCACTGTAGTCTCCCCGGCTTTGTGAAGCAAGAATAGGTTCAACTGCTGCTTCAGTATTTCTGCTGAAGCTTTGGAGCTGTGATCCATGATAACATGAGTACAATTTCCTGTCATCGCAGAAAAGGTGATTAAAAAAAAAAAAATTATCAAAACCCCCTCAAAATTACCATTTTATTTCTTAAAAAAATAAAGACCTCTCTGAGAAGTAAGTGATGTGAGCTCAGCATTATTTTCACTTCTTTAGAACCTCCTGTCCCCACTCAGGCATGGCATCAGCAATCATGAGTAATGTGCGTAATGTATCTATGCAGACACATGCTGTCAAAACCCTTCACGTACAGTTTTTTTTCTTGCTTACTTTTATAAAGATATATCCACATTATTTGCACATGAATTGAATATTAGAAATTCAGGAAGGCAAAGGTTTGGTATTACTGGAATTTTATGTGAGTTTGAATCTCTGCCATAGTGTCACTCTCTCCTGCACCGTCTGTGTCACAAACACAATTGTTTCAGCACTACAAAACATGGAACTGACATCAGGAAACAACAGCCATCACCACAAGTTTATTTCCCTCCCATGCTCTCTGCTTGATGCCTCAGTCAAGACAGTGATCTGTTGAAAATTTATTTTTTTAAATAAAACATAAGTAAAACTGTCTGCTTAGCAAACACGTATGCAAAGCTGGAATATGAAGGAACACAAGACGAAGGTGGGATATTGGTCCAACATACTTTTTTTTTTTTACTTACCCTGCTTCTGTCATATTCCTTCCTTGAAGCTGCAAATAGCTGGGCATTGGATATAGCAATCCCACAGAATGGGAGGTACATCTGCATCACCTAATATCAAAAGAAACTCCCAGTCATTAAAAACAACTGCAATTAGACACTTGTATTACTAGCAGAGACCTAAACTTAGGTTACATGTCCCAGGAAGGTCTCAGCTCTCTCACTCTTCAGCAGAACACTAAACAAAAATAAATCACCATGGGCAAGGCACGTAAAATGGGTGGGACAGAGATCAAATGGGCAGGAAAGACCAAATGCATTTGAGTTCACAGGTCCCAGTAGTGAGGGTCCTCTGTAACTTGTCTGGAAAACTGCAGATTCTCAAGTCTATAAAATGTCTCCTGAAGACTACATTAAAATACTGTAGACACAACAGCTTCCCTAGAAAAAAGTATTCTTTGTTTTTCTAGACTGGTTTTTTTTTTTTTCTAAGCTCAAGAAGAAAGATTGAGTCACATTCCTGCTGATTTCTAGAGGGTGTAGATTTTGGAGAGTACCAGCGCAGTAAAACACAGCACATTGGTCCAAAATGATTAGTCAAAGTGAATTGTCTTCTCTATAAAGAAAATTAAAAAAATGATTAAAGAACATGCTTGAGGAACTGGGCCTTAATGCATCACCATACATTAAGAAAGATTGGACAAGAGGGACTGGGAAAATATTTTGAGGTGCACAAGATGACTTTAGGCTGGCTGTATTGAAATGAATAAACTACTCTAGTCAAATACCTGAATACCTGTAGGATTGGCGCTTTCACAAGGATAACAATGGATTGAAGGCCAACAACGTTAGCATTTAGAAACCACATACTGATAACAAGCGTGTAACATACTGCCACTGCTGAGTGGATCCCAAGCTTAGGTCTGAGACATTAAGTAAATTTTACAGGTGCTGAATAGCCTTAACGTTCGCAAAGCCAGCAAGAGCTGAGGCACTCTGCTGTTTACAGAGTCAAAGATTGCTGCAGCAGCTAACCTTTCTTCTCCCTGGTCTGTTGCCTGGGAGATCCAGTGTAAGCAATCCTTTCCGTGACAAGTTTTGGCATCAAGAAAGTGGCATTTGTCTTTGAAATTCCATTTAATTAGAAAATTACTGCGAACCCAGGGAAGCAGGCTATTGAGATTATTTTAGATAAAAAAGCCTAGATTTGTAAGCATCCAGAAGAATCGAAACAGCAGCAACTGCTGTTCTACTTTATCTTCCTTAAACACTCCACCAGCTACGTGTCTACTTAGTCTATGTTTGAGTAATGATGAGTTTTTGAAAAGGATCTTCAGGTCCTCTGAATTTTGCACTGTTGCAGCTGCCATTCTGTCAGAGTAACTGCAGATTTTAAGGGTACACACAAATACACTTATACTGCTAATTTGCAAACACTTCACTTCAATCCTCTTCCCATCATGGTTCCCTCTAAAGGAAAATTACATGCTTTAGACTCTACAAACACTCATCTTTTCTGAAGGGCAATAATTAAACTAGCCAATGATCACCAGATCTGCAGGAAAGAGTAAACAAAATGAAAAAGTAAAGTAAGACCATAACAAATTGCTACGAGGGGTTCATTTTTTTTATGATAATAATTTCTGAGAGAATTTTGCATATTTCAGTTTAGATTTTATTTCCAAAATGAAACAAAAAGCCTATCTATATTTTCTTGTAATAGCACTAAATAGCACAGCCAAGTAAGAGATGCAGAGCAGAAGAACTTTAACCTGAGAAAAATCTGACCTTGAGTGCAATTATGAATATTATAGTGAGACTGAATACATTTTTACTTAATAAAAACAAGTAAATACTATTATTTTATTGCTCCCACATTGGAGAGACTATTCCCAAAAATAATGTGACCCTGTGACAATGGAAAACATACAAGAAGTTTATAAACCTTCAACTGTCACAAAAACAGCTAGCAAAGGTGTCTTTTTCAGAAAGAAGACAATACAGTTTTGTAATATTGAAAAACACTGCTCTCCGGAACATGAATTCCAAGACACTGACTCGGTATAGAAATTAACTTCCATAAACACTGGTTTATGAAATGCCAAGAGTCTAGAAAGCTGTTGACTTACATCATTCTTCTCACCACTCAAACTAATTGTGTAAGGTACAGTGTAGCTAAGAAAGAGACACCAAGCTGTTTAAAATAATCAGTAGAATAAATTAATAAATGTCCACAGCTATGAAGAAAAAAACTAAAATAAAACAAAACACCAAATCAACCATCAGGTAGAGAGGAACCACTCTGTGATAACTGATAAATCAATTATCTCTGCTTACCTAAGGTCAATTGACAAAGCAGAAGACTACTGTTGTTCCTCTTTTGTACTTTCTGAACAGTAAGAGTGACTGCCGCCTAAACTACTTTTGGCAAATTCTAATACAGTACTAAATAAACAAAGAATAAAGACATTTCTAATGGTAACTGAATTTTAAATAAGATTTTTTTTAAAACCAAAATTGCAGAACATAGCAGAAAGCAGTTATCATATTCTAATTTCAAATTACAAATTTAAATCTACAGTACTCAAGACTGCTTTACAAGCACCTCCAACATGTTGATAATATGTCTGTTGACATTCCATACAAATTTAGAGTAACATAATATTCAGCTCTTATCTATCTGAGCCACATACAGTAAGGAGCAGATATTGTTATGCCAGACTCACTTCAGGGATTTTTCCCTCCAAAGAGAATGCAGAGTTGAAAAGGGAACATAGCACCATAAGCTGGACATATCCTTTCTTCCCCCTTTTAAGCGATAGGTGTATAATTACTAATCCTCTGGTGCACCGAAGTGAAAACATACTGCATCACTGAACCATAATGCACTGTAATTCTATTTCCATTCCTGCTGGTTACTACTATTTCTCCTTAAATAGAAGGATGTAACTTACAATGAGCATAAAGCACAGTCCATGTTTTACTATCTTAATTCTCCAGCACAGATATGCTTCAGTAATATACTGACTTTTGGTAACAGCAAATAAATTGGGCAGAAGACTAAATTGTATTGTAAGGACAGAGTACTGAAAGGTTTGTCACAGACACACTGTTAAGCAGCGTGTGACAGGAAATGACACAGATAAATGACATGGCTATTTAAATTTGCCTTGGTATGACAAGATCTTGTTAAGGAGGAGCTGTTTTATTATTCACTGTCTGCTGTTCTTCCTGCAGCACTGAACAGGCCAGGACAGCTTGCCTCTACCAGCCAATGCCTGTACACGCTTTACCAGATAGTTTTATTATACAGTAAAACCAACTCGATGCTGGAACTTGTAAAGGAACCACTGACACCTCATACAAAGGCTGAGTATGCAACATTCTTCCATGACACCAGTACACAAAATATTGGTGTGAAACTCATGGAAAAACACCTAACATGCCCTTCTGAAGGACATAAAATAATTTCTCTTTGCTATGCTGAAGGTCATTTAAAAAAAAAATCACTTTGAAGCAAAATGGAGTATATCTGAAAGAAAATTTCTTTCCACATCTATTTTGAACTAATGACAGGAAAAGAGCCTGCAGATTTATTAAACAAACCAGTTTCCTAAGAAAGCAAATAGAATATAAAACCATCAAAAATATAGCTTTAAAAGATAGACATCATTAATTTATTTTGGCAAATAAGATTAGTTGTAATGATTCATCACAGTACTCTGTGGCGCATTAACAAACAAATCAGTAAATATGTAATAGCATATTTTATAAAAATGATGTTCAATCTGAATAATAAGTGAATCTAATGAACCTGCTGAGATGTTGGAAAAGACTGCTGTATTTTAACATGTTAACTATAAGGCATTCAGATAAAGTAACTGCAAGTTAACAAGATTATATTGTGAATTACTTGAGCATTCAGGGTCCAGGTAACCACTGACCCAGTTTCTCATACCTAACCCTCGAACAGAAACCACATGGTATCACATTGGGTAGCAAGTACACTCACCTCACAAATTCACAGCAGCATACAAAAGCTAAAAATCTGTGCTCACTTACAAAATGTTCAATATTTTATGAGGGCAGGCAACCTTCTATGAAGAGAAGATGAAGTAACGGGCACGTGTTCAATATCTCATTCTCTTCGTTTCTGAATTCTATTATTGCATTGTAGGGTTACTTTATGTTAGGAGTATTAAGACACAACTATGAAGGGAATGAACAGGATAAATATTAGAAGCTTTAATGTTCAATTATGCAACAACTTACATTTTTTAGCTAGGTCCTGAAGATGATGTATCTTTTCTGCAAAACTACATCAGTAAGATCAAATGGCTACCCTGACCATAGTTACTTTTTCCTTCCCACAGAATAAATATTCCCTTGCCTTAGTACCTCCACACATCTCCAAATTTGTATGCCCAAAGATAAACCTTTAAATCCACAGTAAGAACTGAAGCAGCAGCTTGATATTTGGAAGTACAAAGCATTCCCAAATTCTCCAATATTAACTGCTAGGACAAGAAAGCTGCAACCTGTGCTTGTTTCACTGTGTTTTTTAATGGTACCAGTTCTGAAATCCAGATGAAGAACACCAGTTTTCCCTCAGAATTTCAGAAGACAGTCTTCCATACGTTTCCTCTTCATAATCACAATTTTATAGGCCAAAAGTTCCATACTTGGTTGTTTAGGTGTCTGGGCACATCAACATTTGGACACCTACACTACAGGATCACAATATCTTGAGATATGACACTAAATTTTCTTTTGTCTGGATTTTCATAGATGCTGTGACATAGTCAGAATGCATAAATTAATACAATCTTGCCAACGTTCCTCTGAGCTGCTAAAAATAAGTTAAGGGTTTCACAGTAACTTCATACATGATATAAATTTTTTTACCATCAGAAGCAGGCAGGAGACCATCTCTGGCTAAAGTCTTTCTGACAACATCTGTCCTCAAGAGATACCACCGTTCCCTTCATCACATGGCCTGAGGATGATGGTCCCTACAGAACCTGCAAATCCTCCCCTTGTTATCCAAGAAAATGCCCTGCTCGCTCCTACTTTAAGATTTCAAAAGAAAGCTATTTTCTAGAATTAGGTGT